TTCAGTTATTTCAACCCTATGTAAGGAAAACGCCCTGCTTCTTCTTAAGAAAGTGTTCAAGACAAGTAACTGAACTATTAATGAGCAACATCTAGTTTTCATCCAAATAAATAGAGTTGCTTCCCCCCCACAACACTGCCAACAGGCAGGTGTAATTTCCCATCTAGAAATTAAGTGTTTTATTGAACCTAACCAAACACCAAGAATATTTTGAGGCTGCCTATCCTTTACTTCCTCTCCTTTACTAAATTCCATTGACGCAAACAAATGTGTTGTTGAACGGTTTTATAGCTGCAAATGCTCCATTCTACTACAGCAGTAAATCTGTCCAGCTTCAGGCAGGATGTAGTAGTCTAGTTCTTAGAAGAACTGCAGTCTGTACAAACAACCATGGGGTGAAATACAGCACAGAGGAAAGGGAAACATCTTGGTAGTTCCCAGTTTTACTTCTCTGAATGTAAGTAGACATAACTCACCCGTTTCTTGCAGGCATACACTGTAAACGAAACCAAGAGCTGTCTTAAATTCATGATGCATTTTGGCTAGCCCAGTTGAAAGTCCAGAGCCATTATGGTGTGATATGGCATGGAATGCTGTCTCCATGATGTGTCAAACTGGAGACATTACATTAGGTTGAGCTCATGAATAGGTGAATGCTGTGAACAGGCTTCAAAGCACATGGGTAAGGGTAAACAAAAGATTACTCACACCTTTCAGGACTGAATAGCTAAGTAAGTAGGTTGCCACAATAGGCTAACAAAAGAGCCTTCCTGCTTAAAATTTGTCTGTATCTCTGCATAAAGTTTGTAACAAGACCTCAACTGTAATTTGACAAAGTTGGCTAAAATATTGCACCTGTCACATATTCTCTTGACATCCCATTCACTCTGTGTAATAAATATTTTGAAGGGAATACAACAAAGTAATTAATACCAGACCCTTCTTCCTCCACATGATCAACTGTCACGTGTATATTTACAAAGCTGAATTAGTGTAACAAACAAAAACACCTAACCCAAAATAACCTTAAGTTGAATTTGACATATAAATAGCTGCAGGAAGTCTTACCTAGTTCACCTGGAATTACTGGTTTTTCCTATTTTACAAACCTGTGCTTTGCGACACCTGCTACATTCCATCAATGGAAGTGGATACTATTGTACCACATCTTTAGAGCCATTCCACAGTTGAAAAGCACTGGTAGCACAACCTGTGCACATACTCACAAATATGTGAATGCCACTAGAAAGAAACAAGCTTAAATCTACAAGGCATTCAGAATAAACATGCTAGCAGGACACACAGAATGAAATTAATATCCACTACTTAAGCCAGTCATGAAGCTATAGACACAATTTTCTCAGTTTTTATTATGAAATTTGAAGTGGAATGACAATTTCTGCTCTGTGCTCTTAAAGGACACTTATTTTCTCTGTTTACACAGAGCTGATTTCATTGTTATTCACCACCAGTAATTCAACAAGTTTTGCAGAATTACTAATCCCTTTTCATAATAAAAAGGAAAATCAAGGGCATGTAAACTGTTTGCCTTAATTTCTGAAGCAAATCTACACCAGGACCCAACACAGACCTCTCAACCCATCACACCACATGCTTCATTCCTAAAAGCAGCACTGGCATTAAGAGTACTTTAAACAGCACACAAATTTCGGCATATGTTCCAAGTGTTAGGGTAAACCAGTGTTGTCACAACAGAGCACAGAAAGGTCAGACACAGGAAAGAATAAGAAGAGTCCAGCTTTCAGAGCTACGTGGCCCAAAGGGAGAGTCGAAGAGAACAGATTTGTAGCCAAGCTGACAACTACCGTGGCCTTTCCAAGGCCACTGCCTGGGGCTGCTGCGACACCTGTCAAGAAGGAAAATTACAGGCATCCTGGGAAAACACATGGGACAGCTCTCAGTAACACACCCTAGCACAGCCTGGCTTCGCCTCAAACCACTGCGTCCTTCCGCAGGCAAGGGGCACCCCAGCAGACCCAGCACACAGTCTGTACCCCAAGCCAGCTCTGACCCCTCACCCAGCAGGGGTCACAACCTCCCTCGGGGGTCAATTAACCTGCATCCCAGACCAGGGGTGCTAACAAGCCTCTTAAAAACCTGTGCTCCCCTGCAACCCGCCACATCTCCCCGCTTGACAGCGGCTTCCCACAGCTCTCCTCTCAGCCCCACTCCCCTCAGCTCCCCCCAGCTCTGTTCCTCTTGGCCCTCCACAGCTCCCTTCAGTCCCCCTCAGCTCAACTCACATCCCCTGACCTCCCTACAGCTCCCCTCACCTCGGCCCCTCTCAGCACAGTTCCCGCTCAGAACCTTCAGCTCCCCACAGCCCTCCCTCTGCAACTCTGGGCTCCTCGCAACTCCCCATGGTTCCTCAGCTCCCCACCGCCCTCCTGCACATTCAGCGCACCTCCCTGCAGCCCTGACCCCCACGGCGTCTGTACAGCCCTGTCCCCTATGGCCTCCCCTCAGCCCCCAGCCCTGCCCCCCAAGGCCTCCC